AGGACAAAAGATAATTTTAGTTTTGATATTGATAACACGACAAGCTTCCATAACAAACCCATATTAAGGACAAAAGATCATCATTTTTAGTTTGATACGAAACACGGAGCATCTCCATAACAAACCATATAAGGACAACAAGATATAATTTTAGTTTTGATACGAAACACGGAGCATCTCCATAACAAACCATATAAGGACAACAGATATAATTTTAGTTTTGATATGAAAACACGGAGCATCTCCATAACAAACCATATAAGGACAAAAGATATCATTTTAGTTTTGATACGAAACACAGAGCATCTCCATAACAAACCATATAAGGACAACACATTTTTTTAGTTTTGATATGAAACACAGAGCATTTCCATAAACAAACCATATAAGGACAACAGACACCATTTTAGTTTTGATACGAAACACGGAGCATCTCCATAACAAACCATATAAGGACAAGACCATTTTAGTTTTTGATATGAAACACGGAGCACAAAAACAAACCATATAAGGACAACAGATATCATTTTAGTTTTGATATGAAACACGGAGCATCTCCATAACAAACCATATAAGGAGAACAGATATAATTTTAGTTTTGATATGAAACACGGAGCATCTCCATAACAAACCATATAAGGAGAACAGATATAATTTTAGTTTTGATATGAAACACGGAGCATCTCCATAACAAACCATATAAGGAGAACAGATATCATTTTAGTTTTGAAACACGGAGCATCCATAACAAACCATATATGACAACAGATATCATTTTAGTTTTGATACGAAACACGGAGCATCTCCATAACAAACCATATAAGGACAACAGATCTAATTTTAGTTTTGATATGAAACAGGGAGCATCTCCATAACAAACCATATAAGGACAACAGATAGATATCATTTTAGTTTTGATACGAAACGGAGCATCTCCATAACAAACCATATAAGGACAAAAGATATTTTAGTTTTGATATGAAACACGGAGCATCTCCATAACAAACCATATAAGGACAACAGATATAGACAAATATGTACACGTTTAACTTCGATATAATACACGAAATGCAACGAACCTACAAGCAACGTATTGTTTACCATATAAGGCCAGGTTGACAGAGTAACGACAGGTCCAATAATGATGAGACAAACAGCAAAGTGAATGATGGAAGGCAGGGAGAGAGAGAGAGAGAGAGAGAGGTAAGTGCCCATTCCATTAGCACCTTGATGGACATTATGGCGACGTGTTCCGGACATGATGGAGCGAGACGGGCGGCCCCCCCCTCCCCTCCCTCCTTCCCCTCCCCTCCTCCATTCCCTCCTCCCTTCCTCCATTCCTCTCTCCCCCGTCCGTCGTGTCCCCTCTCCTTATTCTCCTTTATCTCTTCTCTTCTCTCTCTCTCTTCTCTCTTCTCTCTCTCTCTCTTCTCTCTCTCTCTCCTCCTCTCTCTCTCTTCTCTCTCTCCTTCTCTCCTCTCTCTTCTCTCTCTCTCTCTCTCTCTCTCTTCTCTGCTCTCTCTCTCTTACATGTCTATCTATCTATCTATCTATCTGTCTTTCTCTTTCTCTAATTTTTCTATCTCTCTATTCCTCTCTCTCTCTGTTCTCTTTCATTTTTACTATCTATTTCTCTTCTCTCTCTCTCCTCTCTCTCTCTCTCTCTATCCATCTCCCCCGAGAGAGACTGAGAGACCTCCCTCCCCCTCCCTCCATCCTCCCCCTCCCCCTCCCCCCACCCTTCCTCCCTTCTTTCCTCTCCCCCCCCCTCCCCTCCCTCCCCCTCCTTCCTCCCTCCTCCCTCTCCCCCTCCCCCCTTCCTCCCTTCCCTCCCCCCTCCCTCCTCCTCCCTCCTCCCTTCCTCCCCCTCCCTTCCCTCCCTCCATTCCTCCCCCCTCCCCTCTCCCCCCCCTTCCTCCCCCCCCTCCCCCCCCCCCCCCCCCCCTTCCATTCCGGAGTCATAAACGCCGTTTTTTTTTAATGGCGATGGCAGAGCAGGTACGGTAGTCGTATTACTGTGTTATAAACCCATAACTGACAATAAGGCTCCGGACAGAACCACGGGATCAGTATGGGAGGCATTCCTGCGGTGGTGGTGGTGGGGGGGGGGGAGAAATGGGGAAGAGGGGGAGGGGGAGGGAGAGGAGGGGTAATAGGGAGGAGAGTGACGTAGTTCCCTCCCTCCCCCATTTCCCTTTCTCCCTTTTCCCTCCTCCAACTCCCTTCTTGGGGAGGGGAGGGGGGGTAGGGAGGAGAGTGACGTAGTTCCTTCCCTCCCCTATTTCCCTTTCCCTTACCCCTCAACTCCCTTCTTGGGGAGGGGAGGGGGGGAGATAGGGAGGATAGTGACGTAGTTCCCTCCCTCCCCATTTCCCTTCTCCCTTTCCCCTACCCCCCAACTCCCTTCTTGGGAGGGGAGTGGGGGGGATAGGGAGGAGAGTGACGTAGTTCCCTCCTCCCCCATTTCCCTTCTCCCTTCCCTCCCCAACTCCCTTCTTTG